CTTTTCCAAACGGCTGAATAGGAACAATGGTTCTGCTTGCCACTGAAAAGAAAAGATGGTCGGTAATGGTTTTGTCTGAATGTGAGTTTGTATCTTTTAGCAAAATATCTCCTACACTACCAAACAGGCTGTAATAAAACCTTCATAAAGGAACAAGTACTTCACTTTTGGAGTCAGTAGAATCAGGATGGCAGCTACAACTGCCAACACAAAACTGGCTACAACTTAGTCAGTTTCACTGATATTGGGCTACAGTTTGATGTGGTAGCTGAGAGTAATGATATTATTTCTGCCGTTGGACCAAAACAACTACAACTCTGTCATTTTTCAACATTACATAATCTTAGTTTAAAACATCTGGCATGAAAGGCCATGAAAGGTGGCATGAGATCCTTCAAGTCACTCTAGGACCTTAACTCTGTCCTGGAAAGTGTTTCATTATAAGTCCAGAATACCCATCAGGTTCAGATGTAATCATAATTACCTTGCTGATATTCGGCTCGGCTGCGGGGCCGGCTTGGCTGTGTCGCTGCTATGGAAACTGCTCAACAGCAAATATGAGCAGAGGGAGCTCGTCAGATTCCAGACAGAGCTGGAGCAGAGGCACGAGAACGGGTGAGCCCAAACAAATCCATCTGTCAGTGGCTGTCTGTCAGAGAGTGAGCAACAAATACAGGAATCTGTCTCGGTGACACTTCTGCACCAGCATACTGACGACTAACACATTAAAAACAGGGGATTTTGAACAGAGGCAGCAGAAGAAGAGCAAGCGACTAGCTGTTTTAGTCAACCCTTGAAAATAATGTTCTGTGCAGATTGCATGCAGCACTCTGAGTATGTGTTGAGGATGACGCTCAGCTACTACTGCACCAACAGTTACTACTCAAAATCTGTGAAATTGACTGTTAAAAATTTTTGTATTTGCTCAGGTCACTTAACTGTGGCAGCCATTTTGTATGGGTTTAACTCGAAGAGTTACCATAATTTCTGGACTATTGAGCGTGTCCGAATATAAGCCACGCCCACTAGGCCTAAATTAAAAATAATAATAATAATTTTGTACATATAGACACCGTGCTAGTGTATAAGCCACAGGTTTATCCATCCATCCATTATCTTTTACCCGCTTCTTCCATTTTGGGTCACGGGGGTCGCCGGTGCCCATGTCCAGCAATCACTGTGTGAGGGGCGGGGGACACCTGGACAGGTCTCCCATCCATCACAGGGACACACAGAGACAAACGAGACAAACAACCATTCACTTTCTCACTCACACCTAGGGACAATTCAGAGTTACCAATCAGTCTAACATGCATGTTTTTGGTCTGGGGAGGAAACTGGAGCACCCAAAGAAAACCCACGCATGCACGGCCGCAGGTCTGGGTTCGGACCTGTAATTACTATTAATTCATCGGGTTGGGTGGGGTTCGAAAATTATGACTGCGGGCTGGGACCGGGTCGGATCAGATTTTTTGGGCCCAAATGCAACTCTAGTCCACTGTGACCTGTTCGGTAATTTCATTGATGAGATTTTTTTTTAACCTTTATTAATACAGGTAGTCTCACTGAGTCACGAGTACCTCCTCCCAAGACAGACGTGTCAGCTATGTGAGTGCTCAGGTGTGACCAGGCTAAATGTTTTTGGTGGCAGGAAGCTCGTCAGCCTGTCAAAAACAAAAATCCATACATTAGCCGCAGCATAAGACGCGGTGTTCAAAGCCTATGAAGTGGCTTATAGTCTGGAAATTACGGTAATCCGATGATGATCATACACTAACATGATAACAGAGCAGCATTTCAGTGTACATACCATGACACCCTTCATGAATCGGGACATTTTGACACTTAATGAGCTTTGAGAGATGAAACCCGTTTCTCTTCAGCTGCAGAAGGACAACTCCATCAAGGAAAGTTTTATCTTGGCACTTGTCAGCTAAAATATAAAGAACAGTGCGAGCAGCAGCGAAACAAGACCAGGTTTCAATCAAGACCCCTGTGGGGAGGAACAATGAAACAACATCCTTCATCAGAGCGGCTGTCAGCAGATGGACCGAGATGTTGGGCAGGAGGGGCAAACGGATGGTGGCGTCTGACTTCTCCCTTGATCTCAGCCAGAACCTGCCAGGTTTGAACTCTTCCCTTCACTGCAGTTGCACATTCAAAGTACTTCCCAATAAAAGGTTACTTGTCTGTGGGATACACTCAGAATTAATGTCCTGACATTAAGAAAAAATCCACAAAGGCTAATTAAATATTGTCTGGTGTTTTGTCGGGCATATGCAGGAAAATGTCCCATGACTGCTGAGGACTGGCTGGGCTGTGTAACATCAGACTCAGAAGGATGAGAGCTGGCTCTGCGCGTGTACGTCCACTGGAAGCACGTGGCTTTCCACGGACCTCCACTGCCCTCTAGAGGACACGGGAGGAACAGAAGGATGCAGCACAAGATGCCATTTTGACCCAAACAACTGGATTTTTGATTTGTTGAGTATCATTCAGAGCTTATAACTATGCATATTATATAATGTATAATCTATTCACACATTATTTTGTTTTACAATTAATTAATATGAATAAATCATTTTGTCAGCCACTAAAATTGACTGCAAGTTAAGTTAGGAATGTGTGACGACTGGTATTTTTAAAGTCAAAGTGTCTTTATTAGTCGTTCCATGTGGTGCACGTGGCGGACACAGGGTCCCAGTTACATCCAACAAAACCTACACTGCAAAGAAAAACTAATAAGATCTAAGATATGACATAAGAAATACACTAAACTAATAATACACTAAGCACTAAATAGTACAGAAACAATACGCTGAACATGAACACGAGTCTGTGTGAGCACGTGATTAAATGAAACAAAGTAGAAAAATGCATGTGTATGTGTTTATGGAGTTGTGAAAACTGTTTTCTTTCAATATGCTCTTTTCTTGTATCGATTCCATGAATAGAAATGTGTTACACATATTAATTACACATATTAACATCCTATCAAGATATTACTAATGCATAACTGATCAAATATATTATCAATATTACATTTCACTTCATGAAAGAAGAATATAATAATTAAAGACAAGGGTAAAAATATGTTTATACTTCTTTCTACTCCTGTTAAAAT